AGGGTGAGAGGCCTTGCTCCATGGCCTCTCCTGCAGGGAGAGCACAGCCCAGCAGCACAGGGATACAGGTGAGAGGCCTTGCTCCATGGCCTCTCCTGCAGGGAGAGCACAGCCCAGCAGCACAGGGATACAGGTGAGAAACTGCCCCACTGCAGGCACAGGGACAGTCCCTCCTCTGTGCTGGTGAACAGTTCTAAAGGGAGATTGTTTTTCTCAGTTCTAAAACCACTTGAAGTTCTTTTCCTTTTTTGTTTGCTGAGACAGAAAACCAAATCTCCTCAGTGTTCCAGAATCCCTGGCTGTTGGTGTTCCTAAGCCCTGGATGTTGCTGTTCCTAAGCCCTGGCTGTTGCTGTTCCTGAGCTGTTGGTGTTCCCGAATCCCTGGCTGTTGGTGTTCCTAAGCCCTGGCTGTTGGTGTTCCCGAATCCCTGGCTGTTGGTGTTCCTGAGCTGTTGGTGCTCCCCCCAGCAGTGCTGAGCTCTCAGAGGGCAGAGCTGGCAGTGGCAGAACCAGCGTGTGGGGTTTGGGAACATCCGTGAGCTCTGCCTGGAGCCCCCCCCGGTGCAGAGTGTGGGGCAGGAGCCGTGGGGCCGATGGATTTGACAGCACAGATCCCAAGGTTTGCACAGCCCTGGGAAATCACTCTGCCACCACAGAGCATGGCTGGAGTGGGCCCTGGCTCTGGGCACCAGTGGGCAGTGGGAACCAGGGCAGGGCAGTTGGCTCCTCACAGGGAAGAGAAGAGGCAGAGGAAATCCTCTGCAGCCATTTGTTGCCTAAAAAGTTAATGAAAGATACTCCTGGACATTTGTGATCAAGGATATCTAAGAACAAATAACAACTAGTTATAGATTCTAATAAATAATGGGTTAATAAATCATTTCAAGGAGATACTGTAACAGTAAGAAAAGTAGACTTTGTCAGGTTAACCAGATATTTTCCTTAATGTCGTAGCTTACATGATCTTATTTTACATCATTCCTCTTTCTCAATCAAAATATGGTGAAAGTCAATATGGCAAATATAAATTAGACTGAAAACTAACTGATAGGTCTCCAAGGGTAATTATAAGCAGAAGCACTATGGAACTCGGCAGAGCTCCCTTCCTGTGGGATCTTGACCCCACACACTTAACGTGTGATCGCTGACCTGCAAGAAAATGCCAAATCATTATTGGTGATCTGCAGCTGCACAGAAGCTGGGGCAGGTCGCTGATACCAAACCTAATCTAGATCACTTAATGAGCTGAGCTTAAATAAACAACACGTTTTTCAATGCCAGCAGAGGTAAAGTCGTTAGCCTAAGAATAGAGCAGCAGCTGGACCAAGGGCTGGGTGACAAAGTCACCGAAAGCAGTGACTCAGAAGAGGAATAATCAGCTGAAGATGAGCTCCTAATGAAATGCTCTGCCAAGAGCAATCGAAAAGGGAGGTGGCAAGGAAGACAATGGTCTGTGGGCTCCAGGAAAACTTCCCTGAGGGCTTGAAAGCACACCTTAGTGAGAAAACACCCAAGCAACACCGTTTACTAAGAAAGAAGAGGTGAAGGGACATTTGAAATGCAGCCTCTAGGAAGGGCACACGGCAGAGTTAACACTAAAGGGGGGTGAGGCCCTGGCAGAGGTTGACCCATCCCTGGAAGTGTTCAAGGCAAGGCCAGGTTGGACGGGGCTTGGAGCAACCTGGTCTGGTGGAAGGTGTCCCTGCCCAAGGGGATAATTTTTAAGATCCCTTCCAACCCCAACCAGTCTGGGATTCTGTGATTAATCTGGAGAAGTGGTGTTTGGCAGCTGGACATCAATCCAGGTTGCTGGATATTTTAGGAATGGGGAAAGCTGTCCATTGAAACAATCCACCCACAACTGGCTGACTGTGGCAGAGTTCTTGTCACTGAAGAGACACTGGAAATACTTAATAATTTTTTTTCCAAGGGAAGCACTTTAGTTTGAACAAGAATTAATTCAGAGGAATCTAGCAGCCTTCATTAGGCAGGAATTGGGAGCAGGTTATTAGAACAGCTCCTGCTAGATTTGTTCTGAATAAATACAGAAACCGTGTGGCTGCAGGCAGGGCCAAAGGGAGGGGTGAACCAGGCACAACCTCCCTGGCTGTGATGCCTGTGTGCTCCCAGGTGGGTGAAAAGGCCGTTTGCACCTAAACTCTCCTCCCTTCTCAGGCCCAGGCTGTATTCAACCCTTTTCTCACATTATGAACATTATCAGTGTGAGTCACAGCTGCCCTCTGCAGCACCATCCTCAGGGCAATCACCGTTTGCAAAACAACAGCTACCAAAACACGCCTCTGAGAGTTTATTGCCGTGCCTTTTGCTTTAACTCCGTTCTGGAAGAGCAGGATTAGCCACTGGGAAACTTAAACATGCTACAAAGTGAGAATACAAGCGAGTACCATCAGCTTTATTGCCATCCCTTGGCATTTTGAAAGTATGGGGTGCCCACCAGGTGTTGGTGGTTGTTTAGGGGAAGGGAGGACTCTGGGCAGCCTTTATCCTTTCATGCGTTTGGGTGGAGAAACCAGAATGGAGGTTTTAAGAATCAAAACCCTTAGGAGAAAAATGTGGGGAGGAAAAAGCAGGAAATACAAGCTGGGGCTGGAGGAAGAGAGATATTTCCAAGACTTCTTCGCTATTCAGTGTTGATGGTCACCCTCTTACCTCCATAACACAGTTGTGATGGTCACTTCCCAATCCTTATCTCGGAGCATGATTTCTGTGTCCCCTGTGCAGCCTGGGCTGTGTCCGGGCCTGGGCACTGCTGCCTGCTCAATCACAGTGCTGGCAGGGGGGACCCGCAGTGCCTTCTGCAGAGGCTTTTTTGCAGCTGTTTCAACGGCAAATGCTAATTCCTCTCTCAATGTTTTGCTCTTTCTGGGAATTTAAAAATAACTTGCCTAATGAAGCAGTGCCGAGCAGCTCATATGTCCAGACAGATAGGAGTGAAATGCTTCAGTTCAGAAAGCAAAGTCGTCCGTGGTGGCAGTGCCTTTGAACAAGTCCCCCAAGGCCCTTTTTCAAATAATCCCAGGACTGGCTGAAATTAATGCGGGAAGAAATTCAGAGAAGGCGGGGGGGAGAATCACGTCAAAGAGCCTGGGACTAGGGAAGACATTTCTGGGTGAGCTGTAATCAGGCCCATCCTATGATATCCCTTTAGCAGTGCAGTTTAATTGCTCCTTTTCGGACAGGGTTTGATGTATGTGTTCTGTAGCAGGGACATCCAAGAACATGAAAGGAAAACGTGGCACTTACTGAAGGCTTTGCAAAGATCAATGAAGCTCCTTGTCCCTTGGTGGAGCAGCAAGGAGCTGAGCACAGAGTGGCAAAACTGCCTGTCCAAGGGCAGCCACGGTTTTCAGTTTCTCCCTCCAAACACCTTGTTTTGTTACTCACCTTTTGTTTTCTGTCTTCTGTACCTGGAGATCACCATCCTGGTTGAAGTTTACCCTGCAGTGGGCACAGCTGCCTCACCAGGGCAGGACGTGTGAGAACCGTGATGAGTGAACACACAACAGGAGCTGCAGGAATGGTAACAGAACGAGCTGGGCTTGATGTGCTGGGAAGTAAAATTGCCATGGAAAGGCAGGCATGGCAGAGAGAGAGACACTTGGCTTCTTCCTCTGGGCCCAGACTGGAGTTAGAAAGCCTTCCCTGCCCACTTCTACCCACCTTAGCCTCATGCATTGATTTGCAACATTATTGTTTTCTTGTTCTTTAGAATTAAATAATTCACCTTGAGGTTTCAGACTTACTTCTATGGGTGCCGTAATACTTAGCGGAGTGTAAATGCTACTCTTTCTAATATTTCAATGATAAAACCCTTTTTTTGCCCCCCAGCTAGATGAATGATTATTACATTCTTCAAATCAATTCTAATTTTTCTTTAATTGCTTCTGATGCCCTTGGCACTGTTGAGTGACAGGGTCTGCTCTCCAGCCTCGGAGGCTGCAGGAGAAGAGATTATTGATCCTAAAAGGCTGGTGGTTTTATCTGGGGCAAAGAGGATGAGGGAAGCATCAGTTTGCCAGGCTGTGGTACTGCCTATGCTAACCCTACAAAACCCCTAAGATCTCTGTCATACATTTTTATTAAATTGTTCTTAGGAGATGCCAGCTCTAGAGTGCAACTCACCATTCCCTTGAGTTTTGCATCCAAAATGCCACACTGCGAAAGGATGAAATGAAGCCAGAACACAAGGATCATGTGATGCTTTATCTCTGTGCTCATGTCAGGGAAGTGGAGGACTTCCACCACTGGGATATGACGGTTAAAAATCAAGAGCCTCTCTCCCTCTGTACAGAATAATGAATTTCATCATCATCCATCATCCATCATATTTTATCCTTAATCCGTCAAACAAGAACGGGGCCTGTATGGTGTCCAGAATAGTGCAGGCAATGCCACATTTCCCTTTTTGAACTGTAATCTTGACCTGGTTCATAACTATAGCCCTAAAATGAAACTGGTGATCACTCCTTGCCTGACAACACAGGTGCTGTTCTCCATAACCAGGGTGAGCCTCCATGTCAGCATGTTTCCTGCGGGATAGCATCCATCCATCTCAGAATGTTT